CAGGACGCAGTCGAGTTCCAGAGGCTGGTTACCCTTCTGGGCGAGTTCGTCGCTTTCCAGACGGTCTCAAGTGACAGCTGCTGGTCTGAGCTTGATGCCAAGACAAGACTTTCCCACAAAAGGCGCATATATTCCGGCCGCCCGAAGAGCCCCAATGCCCAAGTACTGGGGTAGCTGCACAGCGGCACGGAAGCCGAGGCCGACATGAGCCGGACATGCAGAAGGCGGCCTCCTGGCTCGCCCGGCGCTTCGAAGAACTCCTCGGGGCCACAGCCGCTTAGGCCGAAGAGCAGCTTAGCATCCTCCATCTCTGGAGCCTGCAGGCATCATGCGCAGACACACCCATACATACGACGTACATGCATACCTACATGCAGGCATACATACATGAATACATTTGCGCAGACACACACGCACATGCATAGATGGGTGCATACATATACGCATACACGTGCACGCGCACATGCGCATACACGTGCACATGCACATGCATGTACGCGTACATGTACACCTACACATGCGTGCATACGTGCATATAGACATACAGGCATACAAACATACAGACATTAGACATGCAGAGGCTAGGCTGTCAGTATGTGACAGTCTTGCGTCCCGACATGACGCGCTGTACTTGTGTAGTGTATGTGATTTCCGCCTGAGGCTCACTGTAGCCTGTCCCAAGGTGCGGATTTGCAATGGGGCAGTTGTCGCCAGATGCGGTTGGGACCTGAACAAGCCTCTTGTGATCATGCGCCTTGATACAACGCAGATGCAATCAGCTTTGTCGAAACACTTGAGGGTTCAAATTTCGTGAGAACGGAGTCTTATGCCTGCTGAGAGGTATTCGCACTATGATGTTGTTGCTGCTGGGAAGGGATGGCACAGTGATCCCTGGACCATGCGGGTGGAAGATGGATACTTCTACGGCCGTGGGGTGAGCGACAACAAAGGCCCCCCCCGGCCCCTGGCCAAAAACCCCAGATATCTCAGACACCAGGTGTCACCCCAAGCTTCGACTTGAACGCAGGCCCGCTGCTGGCACAAATATTTGCGGTGCGGAGGCTGCTCCAGCACAGCGATTCCTCAGACTTCTGCCTTGCCGGCTTTGACCTGGAAACCACGCAGGAGAAACCACGGGAGCAGGGTTAGGGCCGCTAGGGCCGCTAGGGCCGCCAGGGCCCAGGGTAGAGGCTTCTGCCTTTGCTGGTGCCTGGTGGGCTGGAGCAAACCGCCCATGCAGACGTGAAGCGACGGAGTCGGGACACCGAGCAGAGGCTGGGTGCTGATGGTCTGATTGTAGATTTGACTCCTGGCAGGAGGAGGAATGCCCCGTTAACGTGCTCTTCATTGTGGACGGCCATGAAGAGAGTCGGATCCTGAGATTCTGTTGACAGCTTCATGCTGTGCCAGCAGAGCAGCAAAGCATTGGAATAAGTTGCCACTCGTACGGCAGGTGGCGACCCCAGCAACACGCTTCGTGTGGTGCGAGAGGCACGCAGCGACGGGTGGCTGCGGGGGAAGACGGTCGGCTTGATCGTCAACAACTCCTCATGGATTGATGATGAGCCTTGTTTGCTTCACTGGCTCCTTGCTTGCTCCTGTTGGGTTTCTATCGCACCGCGTTCCGTTCGCCTCTCCGAGGAGCGGCCGTGCTTGTGCGGGAGCCTCAGTTGTGGCCTTTCGCACCGGAAGCCGGAGGGCCGGATGATGGCCGGATGAACATGGATGATCCGATGTCTGAGGCTATGGCATGAGAGGCGTCCTGGATCTGGAGGTGGCCATCCAGGGCGGGGAGCGCGACTTGCACAGCGGAGTGAACGGCGGCTTGCTGCCGGAGCCGACCTTTGACTTGATGTCCTTGATCTCCTCCTTGACCGATGCCACCGGGGTTCCCACGGTGGCTGGGCTTTCCGAAAGCCGGGAGCCAAAAGAGCAGCGGCGGAGAGCGGAGAGCGGCCCTGCAGGGCCAAGGGCCTGGAGGCTCCCATGAAGCTGCCGAGGTCTCTGCAGCATCCAAGAGGAGGACCTCGTGAACCTGTCCGCGGCCGGGCAGCAGCGTCTTGGCACAGCACGAGCGCGCCATTAGTGCCGCGGTAGGAAGAAGCACTTTGCAGACTCTCTGAGATAAGGATGTCCGTGGAGAAGATTTGCCAGCGACTGGGTATTCCCAATGGCCATGCCGGCCCCGGTTGGCTGCAGAGCTTTCAGAATCCAGGCTGCGACGGGACGTCGGGATTTTCGCAGCCAGGACTTCGTTGTGCTTGGCACCTTGAGGCATGGAAGCACTGAAGAGAACATGGCTGCAGCCCTCAATTTCCATCACAGAGATTGGGAAAGGTGGGGCCCAATCAAACAAAAGGCGACGGCTTTTATTGAAGATGCCGGATGCTGACCCGGAGGCCCCAGGCACCTACATGGACGGCACATTGCCAACCGTGCATCCTGCGTGGTCTCCGTGCGCACCACCCCAGGCCTGCTCAAAAGGAGCAAGGAAAGTTTCAGCTCGGTTTTTCATTTCGGTTTTGAGGATTCTAGGAATCCACTAACTTCTCCCCTGCACAGCCTTTCGCACACTCGTGTAAGAGCACGGACATTCGTCAGCAGCTGGCTCGCTTGTGTTTTGCTGATCCGGTTCCAGGCCAGAAGCCCGAGGACGTGGTGGGCTGCCTGAAGCAGCACCTGCAGCACGAGTGCCTCGGCGGCGCGAAAGCTTCGGCTTCGGTGAAGCCTCGCCCTTCCGGCCCTGCTCTGGGCGCAAGAAGCGCCAAGGTTCGCGAAGCGCCGCAGCTGTAACAAGCTGGAGATTGCAGAGCTTGCCGTCTCGGCTCCTGAGCTCTCAAGAAGCGGTTCGTTTGCCCCCCAGAAATCTGCACGAAGACGTCTGCGCGAAACCGTCCGAGGAGTCTTGGCTGGCGAAGCCAACGTCCAAGGCCCGGATCCGACGAAACTCCGAAGTCCTGGAAGTCCTTGAAGTCCTTGGTCGGGTCGTCTTGGGTCTTAACGTCGTAAAGGCCGGCCAGGGCTCAGAGTGCTGAGCTCGCAAAACTCCTATAAATTGGGAAAAAGACGGACAAACGGGGGCGGAGGGAGTCGGGCTTTTGCTCGGACTGCGATTCTTGTGTTTGAGGTGCCCAAAGAAGATGTGCCAAGTTCGGCTCAGCTGCTTTGTCCTTGCCGGGAGGTGTTTCGAGCAGCTCGTGCCGCGGTGGCGACGGCCTGGAAGTTGGAGGAGTCGGCGGTGCTGGCGGTGAGGGAAGGTGGTCGGAGCCTCAGAGGTGTCTCACAAAATACATGGAGAGCGGTAGAAGAGGGCGGCCCGTGGCCCCTCCTCCGCTGCTCTGCTCCCTGTCTCTCAGGAACCATTGCCATCTTGCCGCTGCTCGAGGCAGAGCTGGAATGCACCTGGGCGGCTTTTTTGCTGTTTCGGCTTTTGTGTGGTTGTGAAAGACGAAAACTCAGTGTGCTCGTTCATTCGTTTTCGGCCGAGCTTTGCAGACCTCGCCGAGGTGACGTAGTGCAGATGGCCTTCAGTCAGGCATCTGATGCCGTTCATCTTCCCAACGAGCGGATGTCACGTACCGTTCTGGTCGGAGCCTCAGAGGTGTCTCACAAAATACATAAAAACCCCTAAAATGAAGAGGGGACGTGGCCCTCCTCCGCTTCTGTGCTCTCTGTCGCTCAGGCCCGGGCAGTTGATGCCATAGCAGGTGGCATGCCAGCTGTTCTTGGACGTCGTGTTTCTGAACGAAGGCTGCGTAGGCGTAGATCCGCGAAGCCTTGGCTCAGGCACGCTGTCGCGACTGGCCGATGCGGCCAAGTGAAATTGGTTGAGCTGAGCTTACCTCGAAACTTTTGAATCTGATTTTCATGCAATGTACATATCATTTTTGAGAGATGAGAGGGGTCCCAGTGCACAGACAGGCACGTGATTGGTGTTGCCCGAAGAGGGGTTGGATAGACTTCTACAGCCTCGAATTTGCATGCAGATCGGTGGTTGTGACCTGGCTTTCTTGAGGCGGAATCGATAGATAATCCTATGAAAAGAAAGCCCTTGCTTGCACTGAGAAGGCTGTCCTCCTGAGAAGCCAGACCACACGACCTGTTTTTCAGCAGGCACGGCGTCCCCGGTGGAAGTTTGAAGATTACAAGTCCATCTGCGTGGAAGCTCGCCCTGGCATTCGCATAGTCCGCGCAAATCGAAAGAAGCAGCAAGAAAAGGAAAAGCTAAGACACGAGAAATGCTTCAGGGAGAGGCCGCAGGGACGGGACACCTTGCGATTTTGATATTGCAAGCGTTACGGATGATGGCCCATGCAATGAGCCTGACTCCTGGACTTCCCAACATGCAAGGCGCTCTTGCTTAGTATTTTGCATCGTGGGCCGCTTGTTTCTGCAATGCAGAACGACGTGTTCCAGCACTCGCACCGTGCTCGACTGTTTCTCTGTTGGCGAGACGTGCCGCGAGCAGTGCTGGGTTTGAATGACTAGCAGCCCCCAAGACGGCATGAGAGAAGAGTCTCAGAGCACATTCAAACCCCACTCGGGCAGCACAGCTGTTCGACTTTATGTCAGACGTCGGCTTTGTTGATGCTGAGCTGTTCAACACAGCCCCATCTTAAAAAGTCGCCGACAGATGCCTTTTCCTCATTGTTATCTTTGCGCTTAAGTCGGAGTCCTCGGAGCTCTCCCAAGCCAAGGTGGACCCAGACCGAGGGGACCCAAGAGCCCGGGCGCCGTGGTCCTGGTCGGCCGCTGAGATCCCAAAAAAACTCGTCCTGTGGCCCTAGGGTTTAGCACCCTGAGGCCCCAACAAGGGAGCTCGCTGCGCAAATCGCCGGCGAGGCACCTGAACCACAGAGTGGAGGGAAGGATGGTGGTGGCGGTGGTGTTCAGGCAGCTTTGCCGAGGTTCTGACGCCTTGATTGAGGGTGTAGAGATGAGGATTTGGGCGCAGCATTCAGATTGAAAGGCATCCTGGTTGGTGGCTGGAACCTCCATCCATGTCGCTGCCATCTACGGCGGAGTGCATCTTGCTGGCACTCTTGAACCTGAGCAAGTGTGAATCCCAGAAGCCCGAGACTTAAATTAAGCCTTCAAGAAGCCCGAAACTCGGCACCCCAGAGAGTCCCTAACAGCTTCCGGATCTTTGCGCTTGGCTTCGTTTTCATGGTGAAGGCCGTACTGGGTAGCGCCGTAGCACTTGAAGTTTTCCGGAGATGCTTGTTGGTTCAGCTTGGGTTTGGTTAAGGAATCGTGAACTTAGGGTGGTGGATGCTTCTTTGTCTTGCAGCCTTGCAGAGTCGAAGACATGAAGGGACTGGGCACTTGCGACTCACGCTTGGGCTTGGGTGGCTTCTCGGAGGTCGTACCGAGATACCCGCGACGCGCTGTCGCGAGGTGCCGACCTGCTTGTCGCCACGCCAGAAGCCCAGTATGCCCAGTTCCAGGGTGTCAAAATTCAAAACACCTTGTTGCTTGCCTGTTAACGTCTATTCGTGCAGCGTGGCGCGAATCAGTGGTGTTTGTTTCTGTTCCGGTATATGGTAGGCCTGTGTGGATCTTTAGCAGTCTTCCACTTGTTCTGAGGCCGGGTCGCTTGGAGGATGCATGTGTTCGAGGCCAGGGAGTTGCAGTAGGGACGATGTGCTGCCACGGCATATTGTAGCAGAATTATTGTAACATCGAGCCCTCATGACCTAGGTTCACCCCAAACCGAGAGCGAGTGCTAAACACATCGAGCAGAACGGGGCTGTTTCCTTCCTGCGCGCAGACAGAGGGTACACTTCTCGCATTTGCTAACCCATGGCTTCGGCAGGGCCATCAAGCAACGAGGCTTCACGCTCGTCGGGCAGTAGAGCACGCCATCACCTGGCCAAAGCTGTGTTTCTCAAGCGAAAGTTGCAAATTCCCCATCGCCGAGGGGCCATGGTCGCCATAGCAGTGACAAGCCTGGCAGGGGAGACGCTGCTTGAAGCCGACTTTCCTGAGCCCGTGACTGGGCAACAGATCATTGCAAGGCTGCCTGGGACGACGCGGTTCGACAGACTCCTTCGAGACAGCGAGTCTTTGGATCTTTCTGCCGAGCTGCGTGCCGCTGAAGAGGCCATCAATCTTCTGTTCGTTCGAGTCGATGCGGGCCTGCTGGCTGGACTTGAAGTTGATACCGTCGAGGCGCTCCACAACTTTGGCGCAATTCAGGACGCACCACCAGGCTTTCCGGACATGAAGTGTTGTCTCAACTTGGCGAAGGAGGACAAGACTTCCTTCAGTGGAGGAGGTTTTGGCGGCATGGAGTCGACGCATCATGTGCTTCTGCTTCCAGACGGGCGGATTCTGGCAAAGTACCATCACGAGAGCGATTACATGGAGCGTAGCGGTGCCCCGATGCGATCCACATTATAATATGTGGTGATATAGTGCTTTGAGCTTCATTATGAAAAAAATAGTGCTTTGAGCCTTCGGGTGATGCAGCGTTGAGGTGATGCTGATACTCCTAGGTTGGCAGTCTTTTGACCCATGCCTCTGCCCCCTTGAGGCGATTATAGCTGCACGTGCTGTTGGGAGATCGCAGAGGGGAACTTCTCCCCGACCGAGGAGCCTGGTTGCCTCCGCATTACGTGGACCGGCTGGGCGGAGCTGCGGCACAGAAGCGACGAGCCCTTTGGCCCTGGGACTATTGCAGCAAACTGGGAGCCGAAGGAGATCGACGCAGATCGCCACCGACTGCCATCCATTTTGGTACCAACAGACAAAGGTATTTTGAATCTGCAGAGTTTGTGCGTGGCCTGGGCTGATGAGGATGCAGGTTCCGGCGTGGCGTGCGCGCGCAGAACATGTGCCAGAACCAAGGCATCATCACGTGTGCCGAAGCTGGATGCTGATGTTTTGGCAAGCTTCACCATGCGCCCTGATCATTTAGTTTTTTGGGCTGGGGAGAGCTGACTTGCCAATCGCCGCAGTATGCCCGGGAGCCGTTTGTTTGTGTCTGCCGCGGGCGTCGAAAGCCAAACCGTTGCACTGATATTCCAAGAGTTGTTCTGTACCACTATAGTAGCTGGGGAGCTTTTTTGCTCAGGAGATTTGGTCCTCCGAGATGTGCGAGCCGCCGTGCTGGACGAGGCGCGCAGACCAGAAGGAAGGCCTCGTCTCCGGGAGTTGAGAGCCGCGGTGCTTCGCAGGCGGACCGGATGCTGGACCTGGGCGCAGAGCTTGGGCTCAGTGGCACGACAGAGGCACAGATGCCCAGCAGAGCTCAAGCTTCGCTGAAGGCTTCGAGGACCAGATCCGTATCCTGCTGACCAGGCCTCGCCCATCACAGTTGCGTGAACGCTGGTGCTTTGACACCGTGTCAACTCCCGCAGGCGCATGCCTCGAACAGGGACCGGGCGACAGCCTCTCGACGGGTTTGGTGAGCGAAGTTCGTATTGTGGGATGTAAGTGGCCGGCTTGAAATGCGCAATGTGCCAAGGACGGCGATGTTCAGTGCCACCTTCGGGATCGGAGTGTCGTGGCCCTGACGTGGTCGTCATGGCGCTGAAAGGATTTTATCAGTGTCAGCCTAAGCCTGCAAGCCGCCCCCTTCGAGGCAGCACCTCGCAGCGGATTTCTTGGATGCCTACACCTTCGTGGCCGTAGGTCGTGTAGGAGGTGCCGCTCAGACGGCGGGGGGCCCGGCCCTGCGCCTCGAGCTCCGCTCTCTGCCCCGCTCTGCTTAGGTGGAGCAGCGGGTCATTTGGGTCGAGGACGCACGCAAGGCCCAGGCTCGCGCGCGCGCGCACGCGTCACGCGGCCCGCGGGTTTTCGGAGGAGCGGCTCTCGCCGCTATAGCCGCGGCTCTCGAGGCACTCTTGGGCACGCTCCTCGCTTTGGAGAGCGGCGCCAACAAGGGGACGCCGTGCAGTGTTCTGGTCTTCGCGAACACAAAGGACCCGGGGACGGACGGCTCCTCTGCCTTCGCCTTCCCAGCTTCCCAGTCCTCCTTTTCTTAAAGGATGCGGTGCGGCTCGTCGAAGAGAAGGTCCGAGCTTGGAGCTTCCGGGTCTTCTCGATTCATGGGGACAAGAAGCAGGCAAGCTCTGCAAGCTCTGCAAGCTGAAAGTGTCCTGTGCCATGACGCCATGACATGTCATGACCTCTCATGTCTGGAGGATGCTCGGGAGAAGGCCCTGCAACTCTTCCGCCATCATGCAGAGGGCCGAAGCTCCGGCTCCAGGCGCCGGGTTGCGGGAGGTCGAAGTGGGAAGTCGAGATTTCTGAGCCTTCGGAGGGACTCGGCGGCCGTGCTGGTGGCCACAGACGTCGCAGCACGCGGTCTGGACATCCCAGACATCACGTGCGTTGTGCACTACGACCTGCCAAGAAGGCCGGGGGCCATCCTCGCTTCATGGAAAGTCTAACAAGTGGAAGAAAGAAGCAGTGGGGCGAGCTCTTTTGGACAGGATCGACGACTTCGTGTGGGTGTCCAAGCGAGCCGAGCCGCATGCGAGTTTTTCGTTTTTACTCGAGCTCTCGAGGCATCGATCGGGCCGGACGGGCCGCCTGGGCAGGCCCTGGATGCCCTGGGCCGGCAGCTGCAGCGGAGCCGAGCGGAGCGGAGACGAAACCTCGAGGACTGGACTCTCCATCGGTTTCGCCAATGCTCGGGCAAAGGGACGGGGCCTCAGCGGGAGGGCCGGGAGGGCCGAAGGGGCGCAGGGCGTTGATCGGTTGATCGTCTTGAGGACTGAGCAAGGATCTGGTCAAGTGCCTGGCAGAAGCGGGTGCAAAGGCTGAGCTGGGGCAGTGCATTCGCACGCTCACAAGCCGGTCTCGTGCAGATTCCACCCTGGCTGCTGGGCATGGCCATTTCGACCGGTGAAGACCTTGAGGGCTTGGAGGCATCTGGGCGAGTCAAGCACTCTGCATGCAAGCCCTGCGTTTTCTGGGTGGAGGCGCTGGGGCAAAAGTCTGACGGAGGCTCGGGCCATCGGGGCCTCAAACAGACGTCCGCGGTGCTCTTAGTCTTGGAGGCTACGGAGCACAAGACGTCCGCTTGCAGGGTGCAGGCGCTTGGCCCTTGGATCCTTGGATCTCGCTGTGCGACCGGGCACCCCGGCACCAAGAGTCAAGAGAGCTAGGTTCAGACGGCTGCCGAACGCCGCGAAGCGCAGAAGCTGCGAAGCTTCGCAGAGGAGCTGCGCCGGATTCGGCGTGAGAGTCACTGGACAGCCGAAATCTGGCACGGTCAAATCGCATTGGCCGGATGGGACATAACTCGTCAGGACGCCTACAGTGCTGCCATGCCGGAGGGCTCCGGAGCTGCCCAGTGACTTGGTGCTGCCTTGACTCGGTGTCTCCGCAACTTGAAGCCGCCGCGAAAGTCTCAGCTGGTTAAGTTGAGAGAGTGTTCAAGTTCCCCTTGGATGCAACCTCGAGTGCGGAAGGATCCCAGGACGTAGGTTTACCGCAGTTCAACTGAGACTTTGCAAGACACCCAGAAATCCCAGAACCCCCGAGGACCAAGATCGGAGGTCAAACGCAACAGAGGTCGATCGTGATCTCCCAATGCAGCAAAGTTGAAAACTGTCAGTGGTTCTGCTGGAAAAACTCGACAGACCGTGGTGAATGAAAAAAGCATGTAAAACTGTAAAACTCAGGAAGCGCCCGTACACCCGCGCGCGTACATCCGTATTTTTACATGAGAATTTCAGAATGATTCCTTCAATGTTGTGCACGCCGGAACCCAATTCAAGGCAACAAGAATGTCGAGCGGCCGAGCGTGAGATTCGACACGTGTTTGCAACTGGCACTGGCCTCATGTTCATGTTTGCACACACTAACTCTTCCAGGCTTCGTATAAAGGTTTTTTTCGAGAGCAGGTTGTATCTGTGCACAGCTTCCTGCCTTGCTGATATGGCTCGTGAGATTTAGGTTAGATTGCAAAGGCTCGCTTGGTGGATGATTTGTCAGCAAGTCTTCTACTACCAGCCGCTTTTTTGAGAGCGAAGAGAGGCATGCTTCCGACTGCAGCCTGGGGTGCAACTTGAATGGGTATGCGGCATGCGATTCGCAGTGGCGGCCATGAGAGACCTCTAACATGGCACGCATCTTTTGCTGCCGCCGATGCCGCAGCTATCAGGCCGGCAAGACCACGCTCGACCGCAACATACTATATGAAATGTTTTTACTGCATAGTGAATGTGTGTCAATAAATAAAAAATATATATATATATATATACACACACACACACAGAGTCACATACTCACATGCACGTGCACATACACGCGCACCCACCCACTCTAAGCCATCTCATATCACATATTATATGATGTCATGTCATGTATCATGTGGTACAGCTTCTGTACTTTATAGCCGATGGTCCTCAGTGCCAGCAGGCGAGGGAGGCCGAAGCTGAGGCCACGGCGCGTCGAGAGTCTGTGCCGGTCTCGGATTCAGCCTCGTTTTCGGCTTCGGATCGTCGCGTCGCAGACTTTCGGGGGGGGGGGGGGGGGCTTTTGTTGTTGAGTTGCTTCTGTGGGAGCTCTGCGAGGCTCCGGCTGTGGAGATGAGGTTGAGGCGCAGCAAGACCAGAGTCTTTGTTGCAGTTCGCTGACGGCAGATTGGGGTCGACGTTCTCTTGGCTCGAGAGCACAGTGAGTGGCCAGTGGCCTCCAGAAGGTTTAGGGCCGGATGGAGGTTCGCGCAGTGGACGGCTGCCCACTGCCAGCGGCAAAGCCTGGACTTTGCATCCGGCCGAAACCCCGCAGCCGCAGTGCAGGGAATGACGAGGCTTGGACAGCCAGTGTGTGCCCAAGACACGGTAGGAGCATGAGCAGGGTCTGCGGGGCCATTCCACTGGGGGCTGCAGGCTTGCCTTCCGTCCAGAGGCTGGCGCTGCCACAGGCGCCATGGGCCCTTGCAGCGCTCGCGTCGATGATTCTTTCCCCGGAAACCTCCAGGCGCGCCTCTCGCCGGTCTTCCTCCCGCAAGCGTGCCCAGCTGAGCCTTGAAGCCTGCCTCAAGGAACCGCCTGTTCTAGAGGAGTTCGAGAGTTCGATGGAAGGCTCCCGCGAGCCCTCGGACCCCCAGCAGCGTGCCTTGGTGAGCGACATGTTGCGGGAGGAGACGCTCGGCTTGCAGCACGCTTGCAGCTTGCTTGCGGCTTGCTTGCACTCCCTCTCTTTCTGTGGAGTTGTGCGCCTTCGGCCTTGCTTCCCCCTCAGGACGGAAGAGGGCATCCTGCGAGGAGTGGAGCAGCACTTTGGCCGCATCTTTGGAGGATGGCCAATCTCTGCTCCTATGACTGCGCACTGCTCTTTCTGAGGCTTCGTAAGCAGAACTTCTTGTCCAGCGTTACTTGGAAAATCCAATGCATGCTTTGCATTCCTGCCGCTCTTTCTGATAAAGCGTTCTTATGCCTACAAGCTCTGGCACGCTCTTGCTGGCACCAAGGTCCATGACTACACCAGTGTGGTCATCGCCTTCTCTCGCAAGCACTATTGGGAACGGGCTTGTGATGTCCTTTCGGAGATGCACTCCCGCGGCTTGGATTCTGAACGTCCACGTCGGCTGCAACGAAGAAACCTGACAAGACCAGCGAAGAAGCAGTGAAGTTTGCAGGCAGTCTGGCAGCAAAGCCGGTGGCCTACAACAACGCCATGAATGCTTGCTTAAGCAGGGAGAACTGGCAGCAGCCGCTCCGCCTCCTTCGAGAGATGCGACGCTTGGATGAGTCTGAGATGCTGTGACCCATGAGATGTCGTCGGTTCCACCTGGATGTCATAGGAGAGCTGGCGGTGCCTTGCGACTTGTTCTCCTACACCAATGCCCTCACTGCCTCTGGCCGCATGGGATCCTTGGCACAGTCTCGGAGGGGCGGGGCGGGCGGCGAGACATGGCGAGACGGCGAGGCATGTGGCAGGAGGCACTGCGGCTTCTCTGGAAGATGGTGGGAGACAAAGTGGCTCCCGACATCGTCGCCTTCAACGCCGCCGGAGCCTGAAAAGACTTATGCCGACGAGAGCAAAAGCGAACTGCGGCACCCCAGCCTGGAGGCCTTGGCCGCCTGCGAGAGCGCAGGGCGCTGGCAGTGGTCCCTTCAGCTCACGAAGGCCCCGGCGGGGCCCCACGGACCGTAGATGCTCCGCAAGCAGCGGCTTCTTGCTGAGGCCTTGGGCCAAGCCAAGCTGCAGCCAGTTCCTTGGGAGCAGAGAGCCGTCCCAGCCCAGATTCGGTCTCTCACTCCAGCGTCTAGGACGACGTGACTTACCGATCGATCACGAGAGTGCTGGAGATTCCCGCCTGCACATAGCCACTGGCGCCAAGCCCCTTGCAAAACCCGAGCTGTGCTCAGGGCCGCAGAGCAGCAGCTGAGAGAGCTACGCCTGGGGTTGCCCTCACGCTTGAGTCCAGAAGGGCCCTCGCGTCAAGGCGTGGAGTTGGAGGGTGTTGCGGGCTGGATGCGAGCACACGTCTCTCTCTCGCCCGCTTTGCAGCTCTGCTGCGACTGTTTGCCTTCAACCGCGCAGCGACGTAGCCGTAACGGCGGATCAGTCGAGGACCCGTGCAGTTGCACTACTGCCTCGTGCAGTGCGATGAGCAGGGCTTGGAAGGCTGGTCGCTGGCAGCCGGCAGCAAGCATCGGCGCTGGGCGCCTGGGCAGCAACGAGCAAGTCCAGGTTAAACAAGACAAACTGCGTGAGTGTTTGTGCCTCGACCCAAGGACACCCTCTTGCATCTCGGCAGGATGGGTGCCGGATTGAATAGCAACAGGCTCTAGCCGCTGTGGTTAGCTTGCAGTTTCAGGCTCGGGCTGCTACAGTGCTTCATGATGGATGGACAGTGGCTGCGTGCCGCGACTGCTACTAACAGTGTCGACAGCTTGAGTCTCACTTCTGACTGCAGCTAGTTTCGGCGAGTGTTGGCCTTCCGCTGACCGTTGACCTCTTCGGAGAGTCGGGCGCGGCTTGTTGTTTGGTGTCCCACCGCTGTACTGCATGCGTTTCCACCTTCACCTTCACATCCATGATGATCATGATTATGAAGATGATGCTGATCATCATGATTTTCGTCATCCGTTTCCACCACCGTGGCGGGCATCATCTGCTTCCTCCGCATCCTCATGATCACTGTGGCTATCATTCGTTTCCATGAACAATGCCGCCGACACCGCAGCCACCAGCACCAGCACCAGCACCAGCACCAGCACCAGCACCAGCACCAGCGCCGCACCGGCACGGGCACCGGCACCGGCACCGGCACCAGCACCAGCACCAGCACCAGCAGCAGCAGCACCACCACCACCACCCACCACCACCAATCATAGGACCGGATATTCCCGCACGAGTATGGCTTGTTCTTGTTCTTGTTGTTGGTTGTTGGTTGTTGGTTGTTGTGGTTGTCGTGGTTGTGGTGGTTGCTGTGGTTGCTGTCGTTGTGGTGGTGGTGGGGTGGTGGTGGTGGTGGTGGTGGTGGTGGTGGTGGTGGTGTGTGGGAGGTGGTGGTGGCGGCAGTGGTGGCAGTGGAGGTGGTGCTGGTGGTACCGGTGGTGTGCTGGTGGTGGGGTCGGTTGTGGTTGTGGTTGTAGTTGAGGTTGAGGTTGAGGTTGTGATTGTGGTTGTGGTGGGGGTGGTGATGGTGGTAGGTTGTGGTGGCTGTGGTTGTGGTTGTGGCTGTGGCTGTGGCTGTTACTGTTGCTGCTGCTGTGGCTGTTGTTGTGGGTTGAAGGTCACGGTCGTCTCTGTGTGTCGCATTCTCTGTGTGTGTGTGTGCGCGTACTGTCTCTGTGTGTGTGTGTGTGTGTGTTCGGTCCTCGTTCACGGGCTTAGGGAGGCTCTCCAATCGTTTCGTTTTGCTACAGGGGGCGCCTGGAGCTTGGATGGAGCAGGTGCCAACGAAGACACCTATCCTCATCCTCGCTCGTGATATCAGTTCCGGACGCCGAACTGACGTATCTGCAAGAGTGCATGTGACAGAATTGCGTTTGGAAAAACCCAACCATGAGTGCAACCATCCTTGAAGAAAGTGTGTCAACAACGGCTTTCACTCACGTGGTGGTCTCGATTCGAGTCAGTCCTCTTTGAAAGGGATCCGTTCTTGCTCTCCCGAAGAAGCAGTGTTTTTGTTCTCTACCTCTCTCTCTCTCTCCATCTCTGTCCACCCTTCAATCTTTGTCGGTTATTCAGCCATCCGATGCGAGGCCCAAGGTACCTTTGCTTCAAGGGAACTGGGTAACGACTAGAGTGATCAGTGTGCGCAACTCCCTCGCGTTCTGCCCTGCCTATGTATTCGACCACTCTCCTCAATTCCGCAAGCGCTTCAGTCAGTTGTTGCACAGTTCGGCATTTGCAACTGCCACGGTAAAGGTCTCATGCACTAATCAGGACACGTTCGTTTCTCACAACGTAGTTTCACCCCTTTTGCCACCAACCCGCTGTACAGTCAGTCGATGAATCTGTGCTAGCGGTGCTGGACGTGGCCGTCGCTTGGTCGCACAGCTCGCACTTGAGCTTTCGAGCGAAGATCTTGAGCCACCGGCATGGCACAGCCATTCTCGAGCACTCGAACCAACGTGACAGTGGGCTAAGGGTCTCCTCATAATGATGCTGTTGCTCGGGACAGGGATGGCCATCACCACCGGCCAATGTGCGCAGAGTGGCAATGCTTGACAGTTCAGGTTTCTGTTCTTGAATCAAGCTGCGGGCTTGGCCCCGGTAACGGGCAGTCCTGAAGTCCCAACCAGTTATACGATCAACCGCTGCACATTTGCATGCCGAAAGAGATCTGGGGCGGTGAAAACACTTCAACAATCCGAACCCTATCTTCTCGAGATTCAGGTGCTGTTGCTCATTTGCAAGCTCCGACTTGACCTGACGCCGCTGGTGAGCCGTCCACTCACTGAGCAAGGCCTCAGTCTCAGGTGGATCCGTGTGATCCTCAGTTTCCAACTGGATGGTTGCTTCCGGCGGAAGAAGAGTGTTTCGCCAGTCCAGGGGGGCATCAAGGCACTTTCGGTGGGCTAGATCTCTATCTCTCCAATTATTCTCTTGACTAGGACACCCATCTATCCGCATTTCTCGCCTATACATGGGGTTAAAAGCCTCGCATCGGGGCTACGAATCCGAATGATCTGCAACCCATCAGAGCTACACACCCAATGCTCGACACGAGCTACCGTGATCCATGCCTATGTCTACACGGTGGAGACATCAAGGATGCTTACTTAACAGTGAAGCAACTGAGAAAGACATCCATCCTTGGGAGCAATGGAGTGAAATACAAGTTGCTTTAGAAAGTGCTTGGGCAGTGAGCCGGAGCAAGAGACTGGCGTGAGAAGTTGAGAGGTGTTCTTGAAACTGACGGTTCATGGAACCGACGGCACTAAAAAGTCTCTATACACGTGTTGATGACCTCCAAACGCTGGGCTTACAACAGCGAGTCAAAAGACTTATCATGAACATCGAAGAAGCAAAGCTTGAGTTTGCACCTGAACATGCGCACCATGGTATGGAGAATGTCATTTCTTGAAGCGGAAGTTCACAGGATTGTATGGATGTACCCTGCTGAGCAAGATACAGAGCATGTCGAGAAATTGATTCGTTTGGTTGGTGTTGAGAACTCCAGAAATTGAACACATCCGATGAGTCCTCTCAAGAATGTCAAGCCTCTGGAGCCTGAGAGGCATCAAATTTATGGTTTTCTGTGTTACTGGGACCAGATCGTCCAAGGAGTGCCTGTATGCGATCCAGGTGCTCTCAGCGAAAACGTCAAGCCGTACAGAGCAAGAGTGGCATCTCCTCAAGCAAGTGGCTCGTTATCTCAAGGGTACCCACGCAGAGGCATTCCCTTGGGTGCTTGCAATCCTGCCAGGACAGCTGAGCAACGCTGGCCAGGGCACGCAGTCCCTGAGAGGGACAATCCGTTTGGAGGAAACCATTTGGTTGAATCAATGTCAGATGCTTCTTGCACCTCTGAACCTGGCCGCAGAAGCATAAGCGCTTCAGTTATGTATCTGATGTGGCAATGCTATTTACATTGGCAACAAGAGGCTAAGAACATCTCTCTTTCTTCGTGTGAAAGCGAAGTTCATGGGAGTCTGTTCTCCTTCCAAGAAGGAGCCTATGTGGCCATCTCGTACCGTGCAGGTCACTCTTAGATCGAGCTGGTTTAGCTCGACTCAGGCACTTGGACATTGCGCACCTACGGATGCAAGTAACATGCTTGACCTGAGACCAATTCCGGCAAAGTTTTTCCACTAGATCTTGCAACCAAGGCTATGAGCAGTTTAGGAGCCAAGATGTTATCTTACACTATGCGTGTTTGCGACAGGACGAATTGCAAGGCTCCAGTGCTGCAGGCAAGGAACAGCTTGGACTGCTCGGAGAGTGCTTCCAATGGTGATTGCAGCTGATGAAATCACCATGATTGAGGGTATGAGGATTGTGTCTCAAAGACCAAATCCAGGTTCCGTGATCGCAATCGGAATAGCTTGCAGCATGGCTGTGACCCTGTTGATGGTGATCCTCATGGTCAAGACTGATTTCGGGAAGACCAGTATGGCACATGGTGAACGAACAGAAGATGGAGTTGGTGGTGAGAACAATCACACTTAAGACAACTGCAGGGTGACGAAGAAGGCTGAAGAGACGGTGGACCACAGTGCTACTTCGCAGACTTACGATTTTACGGAGACTGCGCTCTATGTCATGGCAGTCTGGCCATGGATTGGCATTCGACCAGTAGCTGGATTACGTGTACTTGAACCTCGAATGCCACCTCGTGTACAAGAGCCACTGCTTCACCATGGACAAGTTCGCTCAATGAATCGTAGACAGAGTGGACCACGAAGATCCAATGTGAGAAGGACGCCAGAAAGCAGTGAGCAAGGCGACCGACCACATGATCACATGTGGAGATCGACCTGACAGAAGCTTTACAGTTTTACAGTGTCTGCAGATGCCTTGGAAAGACGCGTGATGTCAAGCCCAAGCTTCGGCTGCAGTGCATCATGGTCAGCACGCAGTGCTCCAGATGAACCAAGGACAGCGAAGGAGATTTCCCAACATCGTCATTGCCGAAACACTGGGTGAGGATTATTCGGAAGAGGTACTTTGCGACTGGGCCGAGAGTCGCATCTTTCACCAGATTGGGAAAAGTCCCAACATGAACGCAAAGCTGAAAACCAAGGAGAGATATGCCTTGCGAGGATACCTTGAACCATAGATGCCTTGGGTGGTGCGCCGGCATCGACTTTATCGAGTCAATGGCATGACTACTCGAGTCGGTTGATCGACCGTTGGGATGAACATCGTGAGCTTGCTGCCGATTTGCTAACTGCATGCCTGGACCATGACGAGTGTGAAGAAAGTCCTCATGATTGGATTGTTGGTGATGGGAAAGCTTACATCTTGAAGATTGTGGAATCACCACTAGAGGAAGAAGGACTGAAGCAACCAAGCGAGTGACAAAGCAATGGGCTTTGGACACGGACTTTACGCCTTGTGGACCATGCAATTCTTGAAGGCTTCTACATGTTCGACTGCTGGTGAACCGCTGCTGTGGTTGGTCAGCCTCTGAGTTCGAATCACAAGATCTTTTTAGCCTGGTTTAGTTTCCTTTGTGAGACCGCATCTGCCGTAAGTCGCAGAGATCTAGACCGTGTGACAAAGTGTGAGTTCCTGGAAGCCTGCAACAGCAACCGCGTAAGGGGGGTAACAGCTTTGTAAAGCAATCCTGGACCCGTGTTTCAATTATTGCATATCATAATGTGTTGGCTTTCCTTCGTGCTTTTAAAAGCACATGTCGCAATGCCAAGTTCCTGCAACAAAGCAAATCGAGAGCCATGATCCTTTAAGGTTCGGAATTTGTTTTGTGTTGTTTTTTTTCGTGCTCTGGGTTGTGCTGTCTGTTGTATGGGCGCCGGTGTATTCAACATGTATCAGGGATCCGCACAGAATGCGTTCAAGTAGTGTGTGGTGTTCTGTCTGTCGCGTGCGATGTATGTGTGTGTGTAGTGGTGTTTGTACGCGTGGCGTTGCGTGTATGTATGTCTATGTCTTTCGTGTGCGGTGCCGGAGCGGTGTGGGATAGCACGTACAAAAACGAAAACCCGCATAATGATGTGACGAAGAGCAACAGCATCTACAGCAACCCAGCAAAGCTGTTGGGTTTGATGATCCGTCGGAGATCCACACTTCCTTGTGCAAGTTGTGGTAATGCTTTTGTTGGATTCACACTGTTCGAGCTTTCGTAGAACACATGGTCCGACTTCACCCCCGTAACCAGATCTAGACTCGAGACCTTGTCCAATAAAATCGTGGATGTCAAGTCTCAGGAAATGTAGCTGCATCCCTTTTCGTGGGCCCGGATGCCGTCCATGCTACCGGAGCCTTGCAACCCCTAGTGCTTCTGGGCTGCAATGATTCCTGCGGTGGCCATAAATCTTCGCTCCTGGTGCCAGGATGACGGTGCTGGGCCAGGGTCAAGATGGTCGGCCCTTTTACCAGCCGGCCACCCTGAAAGCTTTCGAGGAAGCACTATGGAGGCGACGTGGCCAGGCAGCCGAGGGGGAAGAAACAACCATCCGGCAGGCTATGAGTTATGGAAGAAACCCCGAAGCAGAAACGAATTGGAAGAAGCCA